GGATTGTACTTCCTGGCTTGGGGTTAGGTGGGATTTTGTGATGAGTTTAAGCCAGTGAATTGTGAATGGAATAGTTGCTGGTGTGAGACCTTCCAGAGCCTTCTTTCCCTCTACTCTAGGGACAGGCAGTGTTTCAGATCACAATGTCTCCATCTGTGTGGGTCCCAGGGCAAGGAGAACACAGAGCACAGCCCCAAGTCTATTCACGATGGACACAAAGCATTAATGAGAAATAAATAATTATTTATAACCCACTAAGATTTGGGGTTGTGTGTTACTGCTGCATGCCCAATCCTGTCCTGACTGATACAGCTATGGATTTACCACCCTGAACGTGCTTGGTGGGTGACAGCATGGGAATTTCAGGTACTGTACACCCTAACGGCAGCACCCCACTCCTGGTGTAGCTCCAGTATCAGTCACATAATCCCGGGTAGTTCCATCCTCATGGGTGCCCAGGAGGCTAAGAGGTGGAAATAGAGTGTTTGGTGAACTGCCAACAGAGTTGAACAAAACTAGCCTCGTGAATTTTATATTTTAGTGATAGACCTATGGCATACCAGATAGAGCTAGTGCTACTGAGAAAAATACAGCACGCTAAGGAGGCTCGAGAGGGTCAAGATTAGTGGGAGCGTTGCTATTGTATATAGTGCGGTTAGGGGAAGTCTCACTGGGGCAGAGACCTGAGGGAAGGGAGTGTAAATATTGGGAGACAGAGCAAGTGTGTTCCTTGGAACACCTGGTGAGTTCAAGGAACAATGAGCAGGCCGGTGTGGCTAAAGTGGAGTAGAGGATGGTGACAGCTGCAGCAGAAGGGGTCAGAACAGAAAGGGAGTGCAGATTTTGTAGATGAAGGTAGGGACTCAGGATTTTATTTGAGGTAAGATAAGGGGGTGGGATTGGAGAGTTTGAGAAAATGCATGGCATTATCTGGCTGATATTTTTCGAGGGTACCTCTGGTAGAATTATCTATTTTGTTTTCAATAAGAGTCCTTTAATCATTGCCATGCTGCAGGTGAGAAATTTGTGGCTCAGAGAGGTTAAGTCGTTGCTCAAGTTTGCACAGCTGGTGAGTGGCAGGGCTGGACTCCATCTGACTGCAGAACCCAAGCCCTCATCCACCATACTGGGCTTGCCCCGGTCCCTTCCTAATTCCTTTGGCTTTGGAAAACTTGCCTAAATTTGGAGTAGCCAGAGTCACAACTCTGTCACCTTCCATCACTGTCGACTTCAATCCCATCTTTTCCTCATGCATCCCGTATGATGTGAGGGCTCACGCCTATGGCTCCACCTGGGTTGCTCACATGTTTGGTGCTACCATCCTCCTACCAATCATCAGGGGCTCAAGAGGTTTCCCATGATGAACTGGCCTTTCTGTTCTCTCCTTTGCTTGCTACTATGGATGCTTACCTTTCTTGGACAGAAACCAAATTCCGGACCCACTTTCTGGGTGACCTCATGCAAACTCTCCCTTTCTCCTTCTAGATATTAAGACTCAAGTTATTAACAAAGAATGCTCTGAGGAGAGCACCGTCTTTAACTTGAAAGCCAAAGGGGATGAGATGAAGATTTGGTGCTCCACAATTAAAGAATCCGAATCCACAGGTACAGACCCGCTCCTGAGAATCAAGGAGGCTGGTTGTGGTATATTCAATCAGCAAATATTTATCCATCACCTCCCAGGTGCCAAGTCCTGTGCCAGCTGGTGAGGGAATCTCTGATGGCAGAGGCAGAAATAGCCCATGCCCTTGGGGAGTTTTCCATCTGCTGGGGAAGGCAGACATTAAATAAATAATCTCACAATACTGGAGTACTGAAACCTTCCTGACCAGTACAGCAGCCACTGGCCACACTTTGTTACTGAGCACTTGAAATGTGGCTAGATTGTGAGCATAGAATACATACCAAATTTCAAAGGCTTGGTACACAAAACAGAGGATGTAAAACATCTCATTAATAATTTTTCTAGGGGCCGTCCGATGGCGCAAGTGGTTAAGTGCACGTGCTCCGCTGCGGCGGCCCAGGGTTCGCCAGTTCAGATCCCAGGCGCGCACTGACGCACTGCTTGGGAAGCCACGCTGCGGCGGCGTCCCACATAAAGTGGAGGAAGATGGGCATGGATGTTAGCCCAGGGCCAGTCTTCCCCAGCAACAAAAGAGGAGGATTGGCAGATGTTAGCACAGGGCTGATCTTCCTCACATACAAAAATATAATAATAATTTTTGCTATTGATCATGTGTTGAAATGATAATATTTTGCATGTATTGAGTTAATATATTATTAAAATGAATTTTACCCGTTTTCTACTTTTCTGAAATGTGGCTACTAGAAAATCTAAAATTGCATATGTGGCTCATACTATGTTTCTAGCAGACGGCACTAATCTGTATCAAAGGTTGGCAAACTTTTCCTGTAGAGGGCAGGTTAGTAAATATTTTAGGCATTGAGGGCAATACAATTTGTGTTGCAACCATTGGACTCTACTGCTGTGGTGCAAAAGCATTCACAGGCAATATGTAAATGAACGGGTGTGGCTGCGTTGCAATAGAACTTTTATTTACAAAACACAGGCGATGGCCAGATAAGCCTGTACATTGTCCACCACCCCTGATCTACATGCTCTCTGGAGGGCACAGACCTAGGACACATCCTGGGAGACCCCCAACGTTGAAAGGGGAAGCCGACCAAAGAGATTAGACAAGAATGACCACAAATGTGGGAGGGGAACTTATTTTCCACTGCTGAGTTGAATTGTCCTTTAAAAACACAAATTCAAATTTGTTTTTAAGTATAGCCAAGATTTCTCCAGGTGATAGCACCTCAGGATTTTTTTCTATGGTTCTATGAGGGTCACCAACCAGAAGCCCACCCATGTTTTAATCCTCAGAGCAGGCCAGTGAAGGTGCAGGGATGCATGGGATATTACGGTGCATATACTAATAAATACTGAGCAAATGATTCCCTTTTTTTGTTTTTTTTTTGGCGTTTGGGGCAAATCGCAGGGACCACTGGGGTGGCATTTGTCTCCTTTGCGGGTATGGAGTCTGTTTTGGATGAGAGCTTCTTCCAAGACACTCGGGCGCCCTTGGGCAACTCCAGGAGGAAGCTGAAGATGAATTCTCGCATCGCTGGGGGCATCATGACTGGGAAGAAGAAAGATGGCTTCTCCAACCCAGTTATCTACACTCTGGAGAACACCGAGGTTTGTGACGAGGTCTCCACTGAGCCCCCATCTACCCGTTGAGAACTCCCCATCCCCTAGTGGGCTTAACTCTTATTTTTGTTTATTGAGGTAACGTTGGTTATAATATCATATAAATTTCAGGTGTACATCATATATTTCGATTTCTGTGTAGACTATGTCATGTTCACCACCCAAAGACTAATTACCGTCCATCACCACACACAGGTACCCTGTCACCCCTTCTGCCCTCCTCCCTCCCCCTTTCCCCTCTGGTAACCACTAGTCTAATCTCTGTATCTATGTGTTTGTTTACTGTTGTTGTTGTTGTCTTTATCTTCTATTTATGAGAGAGATCATACGGTATTTGACTTTCTCTCTCTGACTTATTTCTTTTAGCATAATACCCTCAAGGTCCATCCATGTTGTTGCAAATGGAAAGATTTCATCTTTTTTATGGCTGAGTAGTATTCCATTGTGTATATATACCACATCTCCTTTATCCATTTGTCCATTGATGGGCACTTAGGTTGTTTCCAAGTCTTGGCTATTGTGAATAACGCTGCAATGAACATAGGGGTGCAAGTATCTTTACACATTCATGTTTTCACGTACTTTGGATAAATACCTGGCAGTGGAATAGCTTAACTCTCATTTTTAATGGGGACCCATTAAGGTGGCAAGCTTCCACAATTTCTAGCAACTTAAGCCAATCCTCAAAATCCACCTCTAGAGGAGTAAACTTTCCTATTTCTATGTGGCGTTCTTCCATTCATCAGCAGGCAAGATTTAGGTTAGGTTAAGTAACACGGATGCAGGTATATTTACAGACTTTAGTTACATTAGCTATGACCAAGTCAGTGGGAGAGACAGATCTGACATCCAAGACATTTCTTCTCATGACTGCACAATGAAATGGCAGCGTTTTCCTCCATCCCCTATAGAGCATACCTGCATCTTCTTGCCCCAGATGACTTCAGGTTGGCCACATTGCACTCATTCAGGGGGGATTCTCAGGTGACCAGGGCCTTTGAATTTTTTCAGCCAAAGCAGAAGTTTGAGAGCCCCATCTGCGTTTCCTGGACAACGGATGCAAAGGGTGGTAGGTGGACGCCATCTGGCTGCGAGATCCTTGAAGCTTCCGAGACGCATACTGTCTGCAGCTGTAATCGAATGGCGAACCTGGCCATCATCATGGCTTCTTGGGAGCTCACGGTGAGTACTGATGCTCTGATTCTTGCTCCCCAAATCCAATGGGAAAATATTGACTAAACATGCATGGTGTGCCTCTCATGGTCTTGTGTGTTGTGGGAGGAGTCATGGGGGCACAGAAGGGGTGTGTGCCATACCTCTGCCCTTGGAGAATTCGTGGTCTTGTTGGGAAGCCATGACCCTCATATGTCAGATGAGGAATGACCCTAAACAGGTGCAGGCACAGTAAAAATCACAGATCCCATTTACTGAGCACTGATCTTGTTCTGGACCCTTTATTTTAAGTGTTTTTAGACCCATTGCACAGGATAAGAGACTGAGGCTCAGTAGCCTTCTAGTAATTGGAAGGTGGGATTCTATTCCAGGACAGTCTGGCTCCAGAAGTCTCTTTCCACTGAACCATACAAATGGTGCAAGAGGTTGCGCTGTAGGAATTCAGAGGTGTTTCAGTGAGATCTGGTGACAGATCAGGGAAGAAATGAAGAACAAAGTGAGCCTTGGTGAGCAGGCAGATTTGGGAGAGAGGAAAGACATCCTCATTAGTGCTGTGGTGAGTTTCCTTACCTCTCATGCAAGATCTGAGGTGAATTCTCTGCCAGGGAGGCCCTAACTGCTAGTTAGAGGAATATGTGGCTTGGGACTTGAGAGAACTGGATCCAGAGCAAGACCAGCCGAGTTTCAAGTCCATCTCTGTCACTTCCTAGCTGTGTTTCCTTGGGAAAACCACTCAGCCTCTCTGAGCTGAGCCCAATTTTCTCATTTCAAAAATGAGAACAAGAAAAAAATAATGATGACAACTAACAATTATAGGGTACGTAATATGTTCCTGGCACAGTTGTGAGTACTTTAAGTATTTTCACTGAATCCTCCTGAAAAAACTGTATAAGGTAGTTACTATTAGTAGCCTCTTTTTAACAGATGAGGAAACTGAGGCACAGAGCAGTGAAGTGTCTTGCTCAAGCTCATACAGCTAGAAACCGGCAGAACTGTAGTCAGTTCTCTTAAACACTAAGTCACGCTAGCATGGAGATGAGCTCATGAGATGGTGCCTGGCATATCTTTAACACACAGAAGGCATGCAAATAAATTTAGGATTAATTTAAAAATTAGTTATGAATAACAGCACAGGGGAAGGACTCAGCTTGTCATTTCCACTCCCAGAAGTTGAGGCATCTCTGAATGCCTATGTATCAGTCCTGGTTTGGTGCAGGAAAAACAGGAAGCACTCTAGGTATTTCAAGCAGAAAAGGATTTAACACGGGGAACTGGGTGCTCACCAAATCTGTGGAAGGGACGAAGCAGTTGAAGTCAGGGGCTGCTGCTTGGATTTTGGTTTCAAGATCACCCCTCTGCAGCTGTAATCCAGAGGTGAGAAGTTGCTTCTGTCAGGTCACCCCACATCCATGAAATTAAAGACTGGACAGTTGGAATGTGGAGTCCAGCCCCAGCTCACTCCTGTCTGCAGGAAGCTGGTATCTGCCTCCATTCTGCCTTGTAAAACTTTCATGCAGGCATCTCGTTGGAGAACCTAACTGACATCCAGGACCTTAGCCCCAAAGGATTCTGGGAAATGTAGTTTGTAGACATGATGGGATGGGGTGTAGGATAGGGGTGGGAATGGGTGCTGATGGATGGCAACAGATGCCAAAGGATGATGATGGACAGTATCTACTTCACTCTGAGTGTCAGAGGGAGAAAAGGTCCTCAAGACCTTTTTGCCCAAGCCAGGAGTCTGGATAATTCTTTCTCCTGCCCAGGGCATGCTGGTCCCTCTCTGAGTGGTGTATCTCTTTCCTGACAGATGGAGTTCTCTTTGTACATCATTAGCCACGTGGGCATGATCATCTCACTGGTGTGTCTCGTCTTGGCCATCGCCACCTTCCTGCTGTGCCGTAGCATTCGCAACCACAACACCTACCTCCACCTGCACCTCTGCGTGTGCCTCTTCTTGGCCAAGATTCTCTTCCTCACCGGTGTAGACAAGACTGACAACCAGGTCCCACATCCCTCAGGCTATGCCCCCATCCAGCCCCATCATCTCCACATCTGCCTCTGCTCATCCCTACCCACTCCCTCTATGCAAGTTCCCACCTCAGGACCTTTGCACACGCTGTGCCCTCTTTCAACAATACTCATCTCCCAGCTCCTCACCTGCTTGACTCCTTCTTGTGATAGAAAGGTCTCAGTTTAAAATAATTTCCCTGATCATGTTATATATTGTGGTGGTCCCTCCTATTACTCGTTAAACCATTGGTTCTCATCTGGGATGATTCTGCCCCCTAGGGGACACATGGCGATGTCTGGAGATGTCATTGGTTGTCACCACTGGGAGCAAGCGCTACTGCCATCTAGTGGGTGGAGGCCAGGGATGCTGCTAAACAGCTTACCATACACAGGACAGTCCCCACAACAGAAAAGAATCTGGCAGCAGTGGTTCAGATGTCAATAATGCTACAGCTGAGAAACTGCTCCTTGTAACTCTAGTTTGCGTTCTTTCCCAGCACTTATTCGAAACTATATTGATCAGTTATTGTTTTACTTGTGTATCTACCTCCTCCCCTACGCTATGTGCCCCGTGAGAGCAATGACTTTGGCCAATTTACCCCCTATAACTGTGCCAGAAATAGTAGGCTCCCAGGTCTTTCCAAAAGGAGCACTATTGACATTTTGGGTGGGATGATCGTTCTTTGTGTGGGCCTGCCCCTCTCGCTATGGAATGCTTAGTTTCCCCAATCCCTTGAGAACTCAAGACCCATAGTGCCCCGCTCCCATCATTTGACCAGGGGTGGGCAAACTCTGTCCGTAAAGAGACAGATATAAATATTTTCGGCTTTGCGGATCCTACAGTCTCTGTCATGACTGCTCAACTCTGCTGTTTAGTGTGAAAACAGCCATAGAGAATACATAAATGGGTGTGGCTGTGTGCCAGTGAAACGTTATTTACAAAACGGGCAGCCAGCCCAACGGCTGTAGTTTGGGGGCCCCCCGTCCCCATCCCATGTCTTCAGACATCTCCTCAAGTAGGGGGATCATCCATCAGCTTTTCCCCCAAACTCTCCCAGTTGTAGCGTTGACAGTCACGTGTCCTGGGAAACCTCAGTCCCGGGCAAACCAGGGCGATTGGTCACCTTACCAGAGGGATGGAGAAGAATGGTGAATGTGGTGAAGAACATCTCTATAAGTATTTGTGGAATGAACGAATGGGTCGTGTTTGGGGAACGCCAATCAGAGTACTCTCTCCGCTGCCCTCTTCTTCTGAGCCTGCTCCTTGGAGGGGGGTCCTGAGTGCACCCGCTCCTCCTCTGCAGACGGGCTGTGCCATCATCGCGGGCTTTCTGCACTACCTGTTCCTTGCCTGCTTCTTCTGGATGCTGGTGGAGGCCGTGATGCTCTTCCTTATGGTCAGGAACCTGAAGGTGGTGAATTACTTCAGCTCTCGCAACATCAAGATGACATACCTCTGTGTCTTTGGCTACGGGCTCCCGGCGGTAGTGGTGGCTGTCTCCGCCGGCGTGAAACCACAGGGCTATGGGATGTATAATCGGTGAGTGACATCCCTGTCTCTCCCCGAAGACCCTGCTGCTGGGGTTCATGATGATAATTACATGAACAACAAGAAGACCAGTAACAGTAGCAGTAGGTGTGGCTGCTATTTATTGAGCTTTTACTTTATGTGCCTGGTCTCAGGCTGGCGTGGTCTCAGGGCTGCCATGTACAGTTGTACAAGTTGTGCACTTGATTGTACACAACAGTTAACTTGACTGTACAGTTTTAAAATCATGGACTCTAGAGCCAGCCTGCTTGGGTTTGAATCTTGGCTCCACCCCCTTCCGTCTGTGCTACCTCGGGCAAGACGCTTAACCTCCAGATGCTTCCATGTCCTCATCTATAAAATGGAGGCTAACAACAATGCCTACCTCATAGGGTTGCTGTGAGGGTTAAATGAGTTATTATCTGCAAAACATTGAGAACGGCGTCTGGCTCAGGCTAAAGCATTATACATATTATTATTATCACCATCATTATTAGCATTGTCTGTTTTAAAGTGAGGTATATTTATCGCATGGTTCCATGCCAGATGATTTTAGGTAGTATGCTGGTGAGGACTAATTTTTAAAATATTTTTGTATTTATTTTATAGGGCATTAGAAAAAGAAATTTCCAGCATACCAAAATCATGATTTCACAGACATGCTTCCATTGTATAAGTAAGAAATGTGAGTCAATTTTGGGGGGAAAAATTAGGTAAAGGGCAGAACAAGCAGTATGTGGATAGAGCAGAGACTGTAACTCAGTGTAATATTTCATTTAATCCTACGACGGACCTTTGAGATAATGTTGCTATTCTAATTTACAGTTGAGGAAACTGAGGCTCAGATGGGTGAAAGATTTTTCTCGCCATTATGGTGAGAAAGGGGCAGCGTGAGGATGTGAATCTGGGTCTTTGCAATCGCAAGGCCCCTGCTTGTCACCTCGTGCTGTAGGCACTTTGCTGAGTTGTGTTAGGGGATTAAATATCCGGGTTTCCTCCCTGCCTGCTGATGGCTGATACTTCAGGTAAGGTCATGAGATAAGGGGTGAAGGGAAGAATTTGTACTAAGTGAGCACCCATCGTAACCTAAATCCTATAAGCTTTACAAACATATATTATCTCTGTTACTTCTCAACAAAATTCCTATGTCTCCACTGTGTACAGCAGTGTCATTCAACTATACTATAGTGTAAATAGTACCCCCCAGATTTGTGCAGTGCACAACCTGTGCTGCTGTATGTGGTGGCCCTGAGACCAAAAGTATATAAAGTAACAGCTTCATAAATAGTAGCTACAGAAGACATTGAGGCTCAGTGCAGTCGCAGAACTTGCCCGGGGTCACATGGCTAGTAAGTGTCCAAGCTGAGTTCAGGTCTGACTGTCTTGTCAGGAGATGGTGGTGACAATGCAGGGCCACCATGAGGAAGAGTCTGATGTTGATGTGAGTAGTATAAGCCCTGACACAGAGCAGAGAAGGACGATGGCATATGGGAGCTGGAAAGTTCATGGAAGGCTTCCTGGAGGAGGGAGAATTTGAATGAGCCTTGAAAGCTCTAGTGAAATGTACACAGGCAAAGAGGAAAGGGGGTGGCAACATAGGTGAGGGCAAAAGCTTGCCCAAAGGAGAGCTTGAGGAGTGTTTGGAGGTCCGATGGATTGCACGGGAAGAAGGGGAAATGGGGGGGGGCATGGAATTTGGAGAATACCTCTCAGGTGGTGGGAACCACAGAAAGTTTTGGAAGAGAGGAGTCTCACTGACAAGGATTTGAGATGATCTTAGGAAGCACTGGAGAATGGGGAAGTGAGACAGGGAAGAGAAGGAGCAAATACGGGGTGCTTTCATGAGCAGGCTCTGCTCTGGGAGGCTGGGCTCGGTCTCAGTGGGTACCTCTGGGAGACCCTGTAGGGCATGCACCACAGTTATCCCACCCAAGCGGTGAGGGAGCTGGTGTATTTATCCACAACTCCCTCCCATCAGCCGTCGGTTGAGGGCTGCTCCTGGGAGAACTAATTCTCCAGCACTTTTAGTCTGATGCCCCAGGCAGAGATGCAGATGCTGATAAGGGAACTGGCCGGTATTTACTGACGTGATCATCCTGAAAGGAGGTGAACAGCATCTTCTCATGATGCAAACATTTTCCTGCCTTTTATTCACTCTATTACTGGAGACTCACAACATCTGGTTGGCCAAACTTGATTATTTTCCTTCTCTTGAGCGGGGAGGCACACTTCTGCTAAAGGAATATTGGGGTGCTGTTACCCAACATGGTGGAATGGTTGTTGGGTGATGAAAACAGCGAATATCTACTAGAGACATGAAGGAAGGAGGCAACGTATTCCTCCTTCCTTCCTTCCTCCCTCTCTCATTCCCTCCCTCCCACCCTCCCTTATTTCCTTCCTCCTCCTTCCTTCCTCCCTCCCTCTCTCCCTTCTTCCCCCTCTCTCTCCTTCCCTCACTTTCTTCTTTCTTCTTTCTTTTCTTTTAACAAATAATTCTGGAATGCCTCATCCATGCCAGGCTTTGCACAGAGTCCTAGGTATTCAGAGATGAACAAAACATTCGAGGTCCAAATTCTTATGCAGCTCATAGTCTAGTAGGGGAAGATGGACAATTCGCAAGCAAACAAACAACTGAACAAGATAATTTATGATACTGAGAGATGCCATAAAAAAAGGCAGCAAGCTCTGCTAGAGAGGCACCAGGAGCAGGGATAGTACACTTAGCTGGGGGTAGTCAGGAATGGCTTTTCAGAGTAGGTGACATTTGCGCTGAGATTTGAATGACAAGGTGTGCCAGTGGGGATTCTGGAAAGAGGGAAAAGGGGTTACGGAGTTTATGAATGGAGAATGGGCTCTACCCAGGGCACTAAGTAAACTTTTCAGGAACAGTTTCCCAGCAAGAAGGTCTCTGAGAGGATTTGCTGTGGTCCAAAGAAAACTGAAATTCGACCAGCCCCATCAGGAGAATTTTCGTCTCTATCTCATCTCCCAGTAGTCTCCTCCATTAGTGCCTTTGTCAGGGCATGAATAGCTGTAGGGTCAAGACCCTGAGACAAGCACTGACTCCTCCTGTTTGTCTCTATAGCTGCTGGCTGAATACGGAGACGGGGTTCATTTGGAGTTTCCTGGGGCCAGTTTGCACAATCATAGTGGTAAGCAGATTGCTTGGTGCTGTGTGTTCTGGAGCAGGAGCAAAGAGAGTTGAAACGTCAGGAAATGCCAGTGGAAGATGCATAGCTGAGGTCACCTATTCTCCTCAAACGTTCTCTATTCTGATCCTCAATTCTCGAGATTTCCAAGTGAGACTGTAATTTCTTTGATTTGGGATTTTTTTTTATGCCAACATGCAAATGCTCCTGGGAGAACCCACAGTCTTATGTGCCCTTTGTGCTTCAGTGTGAATGTGCCTGTCAATCTTTTCTGAGTACAGATATTAAATGAGAAAAAAGGTAGAAAGAAATTAAAAACAATTGATGGGGAAGAGAGAGAAGGAAATGATGGGATGGAGGCAAAGGGGAGCCTAGAGGTTCTTTTCCAGCTTTATGGAGGTATAACTGACAAATAAAATTATATATATTTAAGGTGTACAACTTGATGTTTTGACATATGTATACATTGTGAAATGACCACCACAATCAAGCTAATTAATATATCCATCATCTCACATACTTCCATTTTTTTCCTTTCTCTTTTTTTTGTGGTGAGAATACTTAACGCCTACCCTCTTAGAAAATTTCAAGCGTACAATACAGTTTTGTTAACTATAGTCACCATACTGTACATTAGCTCTCCAGAACTTATTAATTGTGCATAACCGAAACTTAGTAGGCTTTGACCAACGTCTCCCCATTTCCCCCAACCCCCAGCCCCTGGCAATCACTATTCTACCCTTTGAGAATCCTGGGGATGTTCAGCACCATCTCCTTGCCTCCAATCCGGACTCTGCAATCCTACAAGACGTTTCTTCTGACTCTCATTCATGGTGGCTCATTTCCTTGTGTCATTTGTAATTGCTACTTGTGAGCTCCTATCTGACCGATCTAAATCTTGGGAATTCTTGAGGTTGTATTCCTCCAGGAAGTTTTGCTTTGACTTCCATCAGATTTTTGGGGGGCCATGTATTAGTTTCCTAGGGCTGAGATGATAGAGTATCACAAACTGGGTAGCTTAGAACAACAGAATTTTATCGTCTTAGGGTTCTGGAGGCTAGAAGTCTGAAATCAAGGGGTCAGCAGGGCCACGCTCCCTCTGACGGCCCCAGGGAAGGATCTGTTCCAGTCTTCTCTCCAACCTCTGGTAGCCTCAGGCATTCCTTGGCTTGTAGATGTCTGTTTTCTCCCTGTGTCTCTTCACATCATCTTCCCTGTATGCATGTCTGTCTCTGTGTCCAAATTTCCCTGTTTTATAAGGGCACCAGTCATATCGGATTAAGGCCCATCCTAATGGCCTCATTTTAATTTGATGACCTCTGTAAAGACCCTATCTCAAAATAAAGTCACATTCTGAGGTCCTGAGGGCTAGGCCTTCAACATATCTTTTTGAGGAGGGGGCACAGTTCAACCCATAACAGGGTACTGGTCTTGATTCTAATTTCCTGGATGCATCCAGTGGAAATAAACGAAGATCGCCTAAATAAGAACAAACAAAAGCTATTTATTCGGAGATTGCCGTAATAAGAAAGTCAGCCACCATCACTTCCATTCGTCAGAGCCTCAAAGGCAGGCAGAGGAGTGGGAAAGCTTTGTAGAGAGAAACAGAAGGCTTCAGACGTGCCCCGAGTGGAGGTTGTTGACATAGGGATGCTATAGGTGGGCTAACTCGAAGCAGGCATCCTACGTGATTGGTTAGGGGAGCATATTGGCTTTCTCCTTTTGGTGCTAAGTCAGAAACAGGGGCAGAAGTTAAGGAGGCTGTCAGTTATTGATCAAGTCCTGGTCATTTGGAATTGATTGCTACAGAAGTTATTGTTTGGCTTCCTGGAGTGGTTACTGCAGACTACGGGTCAGAGTTCTCTTTTTATAGATGGTCTGGCCATTGTCCTCGTGTATATCCAATCTTTCAATCCCTTTTGCTTGACTTTGTAGATCAATTCCATCCTCTTCACTTTGACACTTCGGAGCCTGAGGCAGAAGCTTTCCAGCGTCAATGCCGAAGTCTCAACGCTCAAAGACACCAGGTGAGTCCCTCCTTCCTATCGTCTCCCCTTCCAATCTCACTTCCTTATTTCCACAAATGTTCATTGAGTACCTTTTATATGCCTGGTCCTGTGCCTAAGACGGACCAGCACAGTATCTGGATCTGGGGGGATAAAACCCCAGCTCTGTCACTTACAAGCTGTGTGACCTTAGGCAAGTTACATAACCTCTTTGAAACTCTGTTTCCTCATCTGTAGAATATGTGGAGATATTAACATTGCCCACTTTATGTGGCTTATGAAGCATTTAGCACAGTTACTAGGAGAAGTGAGTGTTTCATATATAGAAACTATTAATAAACTTTTTAATTTTTCTCCTGCGTGTACATAGTAGAATAGAATCATACTGTTTTATTTTTATAACTATTTTTTCTCTTAATAACACGTCATAAAATTTTTCTTGTTTGATTAGAAATTTGTCAACTATACTTTTTTTGTATAACTCTTCAGCGTAAGGAGCCAGCACAGTTTACTTGAATCATCCCTCATTTATGGACATTTAAGTTATTTCTGACTTATTATTATTTTTTTTTTTTTGCTATTACAAACAGTATTGTCTTGAATATCCTTGTAGGTAAATCTTCTTCCACATCTGTGGTTATTTAATCATAACACTAGGCATGAAATTGCCTGAGTCAAAGGGTAGGTTGGATTGTAACACTTTTAGTGTATATTGCAAAT